CCCCTCACCTTATTTTCCCCTCGGGATGACCCGGAACTAAGACAAGTTTTATAGTATGACAGGGTGGGCCTCGTCCCTCCTGCACTTCTTGTACGATACGAACTGGCATTGAAACTTGACCCGACAAAGGCGACGCATCTGAATTGCATTCGCCATATTTTTTGAAGAACAAAATGTACTTCCACATAATCGCATTCATGTAGGTGATTTAAAAGTTTCATGTATTTTATCAACTCAACTTAATGACCGATTGAGGATTCCTGTCGAGAAGCCTCACAATTTTTAAACTAATAGACCATTCCGACAAAGCCCGAAGAAATCGTATTTTTGCCATATTAAGCTTTGCTTCTTCCCGGTAGTCTTTTTTTTCTTTTCGCTTTACCGTAATGGTCTATTGAATCACTGGTGGGCAAAACATTTCTAGTGTCCTATTTGATTTGTGCTTCTCTGAGTGTCTTGCCCATTAAGAGTGAAACTGACTGTACTTTCCCCTTTTTTATAAGAACTTGCTCAAATATTGAGTGCTTATCAATACAAGTGATTCTGTGATTAATTAATGTCACACCATTCAGTGTGCAAACAAATAACAGATATTGTGGTGTGAAAAATTAGAATTTATAACGTCTTGACTTATGGATTTTTAAACGATATTTAGTGAGAATGACTCAGATAATTATTTTTTTAATGTTATTGTGGTGTAGTGAGTTCTCAGGGAGCTTTTAATGAGAAGGCCCAGTATTGTTATTTCTAATGTTGCTTTAACAGTTTGATAAACACTTGTTGACATTCCAGGCCTTGTGTGTACGTTTTAAAGCTCATGCCAATGTGATAATTGTATATTTATTTTTTTGAGTATAACTAATATAATGTGTGACCTAAAACCCATTTTAGTTACAATATTGTATACCTACACAACCCAGTGAGAAATTATGATGATGCCGAATGGCACGTACCGACCGCACTGAACGAGCGTGGCTACGACGCCACCATGGAAGCTACCTGCCACGTTACAGTCATGGCGCGTGAGTTTTACGCGGCTGGTAGAGGCGTCACGTAGCCGCGTTCGTTCTGTGCGGGACGTGAGACTCGGCGCTCAGCGGTTCGAATCTCCGTCAAATCGGGCGTAGACGTCTAAATGGTGTGCGTATCGTATAGACCTTAGACACACACTAGACGTTCTCTAGATGGAGCATTTCTGGCTAGGGCAGTACCCCCGGGACTATGTTTTGATGCACAGTTAAAGTCTTACGAAGCAAAATGCAAAATGCTTCGTACCTACGAAGGATTTGCTCCCTACGAAGCGTCCAAATCCTTCGTATTACAAAGGATTTGGCATTTTTCTTCGTAAGACTTTAACAGTGTGAGCACATGTGGTTCGAAGCGGCTGTTCCCGCGATCATATAAGTCGCGAATGACTGCGGTGTCATTGTGCATCAAAATTTCGGTCTCGACGACTCCAATAAAGGAGCGTTACCAATCGGAACCCGTGTGGTCCCTGCAAACCGTAGTCTGAGAAAAATCTGCGTGCTACTCACAATCAGGACCGGATTCGCGACAGGATAACACAATTTTGAGACATTGTGATATATGTTTATATTTTTGGAGAATGTTCATATTAACATGCCAACGCTGCACATAAAATTTCTTAGATACATATAATGATTTTAGAACATACATAATTAATCATAGATACAGCCGTTTTATTTGATAATAACATGCCGAACCCTCGGTGCTGGAAAGTCCAAGATGGACATTTCAGCTTATTGTCTTTAAATCACTTTAAGTACTTACAATTCAATTAAATCTGCGATTGCAGCACACGAGCATTTACAGAACTAGTGACGAATTAGGAACGAATGACGAATAAGACATTGGATGGTTTAAAAAAAGTCACTCACATTTCACATATATACCTAAATAATTGAGTGAGTTCTAGATTGAATTAAGAATTACAAGCAAAACACAGGTCATTGTTGATTCTGTTAGCAGATGTACCGGGTGTAACTGTGAATACGCAGCAGTGTTGCGGGTTTGCCTACTATTTTTACCCGTAAGGGGCCATGGTCCCTGCGGCCTTGTTGAGTATTCAATCCCGCAACACTGCTGCGCATTCACAGTTACACCGGGTCCAGAACTTGCCTACACTTCAATACACTCGAGTCTGAGCGAACAACAAGAACAACTTCACGCTCACGTCAATTTCGAAACAAAAGACAAACACTCTGTTTATACTGGAACCCGATGCTCATCTAAAAATTCAGCACAGGCCAAAAGACTGGGAGATAAAACGTTACATTTATTGTGTCACTTGAAAAGAACGCTAAAAATGGTTCGAAACCGTGTCTTCGTGCTAAGTTTAGGGCACCTGGAGGGTAGAATAATGGCCTTTGCCTTGTTTATTGCATCGCGTGGCAGGGAGCCCTTCGGGTCCATAGTGCTATTATTACTAATACCCGCTTGTACAATAAGAATGTTAAGATGAGTTGTGATTCCTCTATCTACAGCCGGATCGAAAGTTCACGAATTTATTGTTGCGTTACTTGATTGCTAAGCTGTGACGCGCCAAGATATGTAAGTACATCTCTTCATATTAAATAAGAAAAAACGGGACAGTTCACATAGGGAAGCCAAAGGCACGCCACAAGGCGACAGGAACTTTTGGACACGTCTTAAAAATAATTGACCAATAAAAACTTTTCCCCTCATATATATTTAACAACTATGGTCTGACTCACGGCACAGCCACCGAGCCCGACCCATTATTGCATAACACGTCTTGTGCACTGAGAAAAGTCTACAAAGCAATGTTTCGTATCGTATACAGAGAAAAACGGACGGTTCGTAATGCGAAGCAATCTTTGTTGTTCGTATTTCTTCGTAATTTCAACGCATTGCCGCGTATGCTACAAAGTCGTGCATCCTAAGGCTTCCGTTTTCTTCGTAATTTACGAGGCTTCCGTTTACATCGCATTTTACTGAAGCAACGCTTTGTAGAATTTTTACAGCGTGTTCGTATTAAAAGAAACAAAATAACTGACAACCGTTGATGGGTCAGCTTCTTCACTTGATTTTTTTCCACACCAGCACCTTCAGTCATCTGAGTAGAAAAGAATCAAATGGATTCGTCTACCCACAATATATTCAGACTAGGGTACGCCTGTACACCGTAATCCAAATGTTCCATTTGACTTGTCCTATTAAAATTAATACTGGAAGGACATTATAAACCCATACACATCAAGACAACTGGATGACTTTTGTAAAATATTCACAAACTATCTTATAAACTTTAAATGACACCAACACTGAACAGCAGATGATATACCTTAGGCTAGAGAACATACTGTAAGTACAGAAACCTCACAAAAAATTATAGCTTGAGTGGAATGTTTCAAACCACATTTTCTTTTATACACAGTGTATTTAAACTAAAAATATCCACTTATTTAAAAAAATCAGCAGGACTCAGTATCACATAAAAGATTCAGACTAGAAAAAAAATTGCACCTGTGTACGATGGGCGCAACGAACAATTCAAGTGTCACACGCGAAGTACACGAAGCAGTAAATACGGCGTAAAGCCCACCCCGGTGTGTGGAGGACCGAGGACCCCGCATGGAAACGTGTTCCTTTCTTGTTTGTACTTCAAGCGGCGCCACATGCAAACTGGCAGGCTTGCGCATGGTTTTGACATTGTAACACGTCAATGAAGAAAAGTACTACACTGGCACCGGCAGCACGATAAAGTATCACATAACAAATTGACTATTTTCGAGCACCAACGTGAAAAACAATAATCAATATAAAAACATTGCCTCTTTTATCGGCAAAATGTCTGTCGATTGATATTTATGAAGTACGTTAATTTAGAAAACAAAACGTTCAAGGTGTTGAAGTTTTCTGCAAATTAAACCCCCCCAATAAAATGTCTTTTGGAGACCTGTGGATAATCCCAAACAGAAGCCTACTACTGTCTCACATCAGTGCAGTCTCAGTCTGCGTTGGTAACGGATAAGACTCCCTTTGGTGCAATGGGGTGCTGCCGTCCCTTTGAGTGCGCCGCTGAGCGCCTTAGTTGGGAATGTTCGACATCTTGTCCTGGTCGCCCTCCCCATCCGGTCGCTCACTCCTCTGCTGTGTGTCCAGGTCGTCCTCGTACTTGCGCATGTACTCCACGACCGTGCTGTGGCCAAAGGTCTGGGCCTCGTCGATCGGATAGTGACCCCATCTAGTGGCAAGGAACTCAATTGGAAAGAGGGAAAGCAGGAGACCTGTGTGTGTGTCTTTGGGTGGAAAAAGGGGGGGGGTGCTACGCATGCTCTGAAAATCTAAGTGCAGAACACTCATCTGTCGTAGGTGGCAAACACTTTGTTCAGCAGCTGTAAAAGTACACTGGAAAAACAAAGGCAGGAGGTGTTAAATTGTAATGTCTTTGCACCTTTGGGCAGTTTTAACACCTTTGAAAGGGTGCTAATTGTTAATGCCATTTGAAAGGCATAAACACCCTTTCAGTCCTACACTGTAAAAAATCAGTCTTGGATACGGAGCCTGTCACGGCGTTCCGCGTACCTCACTTTTGGGAGTGATTTTCGAAAGCGGTTCGGAGATTTGCCGTACATGGCCACCGTACCAATGATTTTTACATGGGCTAGCGTAGGGAAGGGGGTACGGAACGCCGTAACAGACTCCGTACTCAAGACGAAGACATTGGGATCAAAATTAGCAGGACTTTTTCCGTACCTTTCCGTACCCTGGCTCCGTACCCACGTTTTTTTACATGGGCTCTTATGGGAAGAGGGTACGAAACCCAAGGTATGGAGACGCCGTAGGTTAAGTAAACGGCATATTTCCGTATGGGCGACCGTGATCATTTTTTACAGTGTACCTTTGTTTTGTTTTTTTGTACAACAGAAAAACGAAGTGTTTGCCACCTACACTGTTAAAAAGGCGGCACTTCAAGAAGACGTTGTTGTGAAAAAAGTTTCCAGAACTCTTTGTGAAATCACAACTTTTCTTCGTTGTCAAAAATTGATAACTTTAGAAATGATTACGATTGGTTCACAACTATTTCCAAGTAAAATGCACTTAGTTTTGCAGACTGGTGAAAGAAGACAGACTCACCTGTCTTTTGGTCGCAGCGGTACGCCACACTGCTCCAAGAGGAACTGCACACACTTGAGGTGTCCCTCAGCTGCAGCCAGGTGCAGTGCCGTGCGGCCGTCGTAGTCGGACAGCGTCATGTCCATGCCCGACAGCCGGTGCCTGCGAGTTCAGAGGGCCGGATCGATTTGGAGTTTATCTTAAAGTTGCATTTTAGATGTTTGTTACCATTCGCTCCTGCCCCCTTTTCCAGGCCCAGGCCGCTCCCGCTCACCTCCGGAGTGCTGCGAGGTCTCCGCTCGCGGCAGAGAACAGCAGGTTGACGATGCTCAAGCCCTTCGTCTCGTACTTGTGCCGCCGGGGGTCTCGCTTGTTGGCGGCGTGCTTCAGGTTGTCGTAGCGGTGGAAATTAAACTCGCGGACGAGTTCCTGCGATGCAATAAAATTATTTGTAGGGGTCAAGGGACAATTTCCTTTAAAGGTGTAAGATAAATTGCGTAAGAACATATGAAGTTAGTGAATAGTTTTCATCATATAATAAGATATTTTTCTTTGTCATTTTTTTGTACGCTGCAGTCAAATTTATGTTAGGAATTTAAACATTTATGAAGAATGTCGTGCTTCCATACATTTATTGCAATGACTCATGACACGGAGTCAGTGATGCAGACCATATTAAGGCTCATACTTACATCACAAAACTGTATTCCGCGACAGCTGTTGCCCAGCGGGTCAAGCGGTGGCGACCAGGTGAAGATCCCCATGACGTTGGGGATGACGATGAGCATGCCACCGCACACGCCTGACTTCGCGGGCAGTCCGACCTGTTGGTACCATCAAGAGGTTCAAACTTCAGAAGTTCGTTCATTTCATCCGTTCTGCCTTCCATGCTTTCGAATTTTTCCTTGCGAAGGATTTGTCAGTTTTGTAAAAGCCTACGAAGAAATTTCTTTGAAATTGCAAAGGATTCTCTTCGCAAGGATTCAACGCAGTGCATGCGTTCATTCATATTTGATTAAAATTAAGGTACTGAATGCAGATGCACTTGTAGGCTACCAGTCTCATTATTAGTACACTACCCCAATATTACATCACCTTGAACGCGAACTGGCCCGAGTAGTCGTACATCCCGCAGGAGTGCATTAGGGACAGCACGTCTCGCACCGAGTCCGACTTGAGAACCTTCTCTTCGGTCGTCGGACAAATGCCGCCGTTGGCAAGTGTAGCTGCCATGACAGCCATGCTCTCGCAGTCAGCCTCCATGGAGCAGCACTGAGCACAGAGCACACGGTAATTAGAATTAGATTCGCTTGTTCTGTTTTGTTTCACCGTGTCACAGGGCAGTTGTGCCTAGGCCGCATGCTCTTTGCAGTTTTACTTCTACGCTCTCTTCACCTGGAAGTAAAAGTCCATGCAGTCGCGCAGGATGGTCTTCTCCGGGTAGCACTTGTGCTCCCGCATGTAGAAGCCGAGCGCGTAGTTCCTGTCGGCCGCCTCGCGCTCTGACAGGAACACGGCGTTGTTGAAGCCAATAGGCTCTCCGCCTGCCAGCCGCTGAAAACAAAAACATTGAACGTATCGTGACGTATCATCGGTATCATCTCAAGAGCCAAGGCGCGGTGACTTACCTTAAAATAGTTCATGGTGTAGTCGAATTTCTCTGCCAGCGTCATCTCGGGCTTCACGAGAGTTTTGAGCAGGGAGCAGACGAGGATGGCTCCGGCGTTGATCATGGGGTTGTGCGGCCTCTCTGTCGAGTAGAAAGACAGTTTTAGAACAGTTTTCCGAGCGTCCGTGGGGACACGTGTGGAGGTAGTCCGGGCTGTTGCTCACTGTTGTAGTCGAGGATGAGCTCGTTGAAGTTCCTGCCGCTCGGCTCCTGCCCAACGTACGAATGCACTACCTCGGGGCCCAGCTTGTCCAGGGCGATGGCGTAGGTAAGGGGCTTGCTGCGGGAAAGAGATTACCATTATCGCCTCATAAGCAGGCTGAAGACTTCGGTAGTTATGGTGTTATGATACAGAATGGCACCCTTAGGTTAAGTTTCTGACCTGCAGGACTGGAGTGTGAAGGGCACAGTCACGTCGCCGATGGAGAAGCGCTGGCCGTCGATGGTGCACACGCTAACTCCCCAGTAGTCCGGATTCATGCGAGAGAGCTGCGGAATGTAGCTCGCCACCTGAGGAGAGATAGGTCGAGGGTCAGAATGGATTTGGGGGATCGGGGGTCGTTCGGAAAAATAGGTCTGTTTTTCTCAGATTCGACAAATTACGCGAGCACGGCGCCTGCGAGACCCAGGGTAGGCCATCCCGTAGAGCACGTATGCACTGCAGACAGTGTGTTGCCTACCCACTAGGCGCTTTCCGAGCTTGCATTGGCCGAACTTGGCAGTTTCGTAATGCCGAAAGACGGACGTCCAATCTACATCCCTTATCGAGTGTTTAGAGAATGTGCCAAAGTATATTCTTATTATTTCCATTTTCTTCCAGACAAGTGACAGGTAACTGTCAGAATTTGGGGGCCAGGAGGGGAGGGCAGTTTTGTTTGATCACACTGCTAACGCCGTGGTCGCCTACCCAGTGAGAAATAAGGATATCAAATTGACATCAGAACGATATCGGACATCAGAAAAGTGTCGATTTCGGGCCCATTTTAGAATCAGTTCTGAGTCAGAAACTTGAAAACGATATCGTTCTGATATCGATTCGATATCGCTTAAAATTCATTTCGCACTGGGTAGGTTGCCAATATGTTGGCAGTCCTTTTTGGTTGCCAAATTTTAGTTGCAAAAAGTTGGCCTTCTTTCAAAAGGAGGTTAAAATTTGGCAATAAAAAAGGACTGCCAACATTTTGGCAAGCTACGTGACCACGGGCGTTAACAGTGCACACACGACACTAAAATCCGCGGCATGCTACTATAAGAAAAGTTAAAACATTCCGACGGTTTCTGTTCCCCCGAGAAAGTTTCCCATAACATTTATTTCCTCTTTTCTCGGCGGAATGGTGCAGCGCGGCGCGGGCGGGGCGGGCGCGGTGGGCCCGTGGGCCGCCTGCTGCGAGGTGGGGCGGCCGCCCGCTCCGCACCCGCGCGCTGCACAGTTGCCCTGCCTACCCGCTAGGCGTTCCCCACCAGCTGGAGACGCACTGCTCTGCTGTCTGTTTCGGGCGATCTCGGGGGAGTGCGAGTTGGAATAGGCGCCGGCAACCGCTCAGCATGTCTGCACGGTCTCTTATTTGAGCTGTTTGACCGAAAACGTTTCGCGTGAAAACCCCACCTTTCCCTCGGAGTTGGACTTGCATCTGTAGTAAAAGTCCTCTATGTGCTTGGTAAAGCCGGCGAAGTCGGGGATGACGAATTGATGCCTGAAGGCCCTTGAGATGAGGATCATGTTGGCCTGGATCACGCTGCAAACACAGAGGGGCTTCGCATTAGCCGGAGTGGCGCTCGCAGCGGCAGTGAGCCATCGGCCGCCTGTCCCGTCTCACCTCCGGAACGTCTCCCGGTCCAGCTTCTGCGTCTCGGGCGAGCCGCCCTCGTAGCCCGACTGGCGGTGAACAGCGCGCAGCTTCTCGCTCAGCTCGAACAGGCGGGGGTCATTCTTCCGCAGCCCCGTCTGCCTCAGGGCCTGGACGCGGGGGAGAGAGAGAGAGAGAGAGTTAGCATGAGGCCAGGCTCGATCACCGACCGGTCGTTCTCCGCTCCACTGTAAAACCCTGTGGCCTCCATAATAGTAATAAACTTTAAAAAAGAAAATGTGACCGTGACCCGGACAGTTTACACTAATTAGTGTTGGTGTGTTCTCGACTTCAATACTCACCGCGAGGAATTTCCCGATGGGTAGCAGGTCGTTGTCCTCGTTCTTGAACATGTCGAAAAGGACGTCCTCGGCCGCCTTTGAACGCTCGTCCGTGTCCCTCGACCTGCACGGGGGCCAGCAATTAACAAATGAACGGCACTTTACAGTTGACCGAGCAGCGCAAATTAAAACACTACACGTGTGTGCTTGAAATACACTTTCAATTTCACACTGACATAAACTTAGATTCTAAAAAAATAATAAAAAAATAGTCTAGTGCAGAACGCAGAAATATTTAGCTACCTGCGGACTTGTTCACATTCGGGCAGGCTTGTGCGGGTTGTAGCCCGCATCAAAAAAAATATTTTTTACCGAACGGTGCATTTTTTGATAGATTATGTTCATGGAAGACCCCTCGCAAAATTTGAGCGTCGTGTGATAGCGCTAAGCCGGTGCGCACCGGGCTTTTCTACTCATGTCGAAAAAGAGCCGTGCGGGCTTCGGCACCTGTTTTGCCTCGCTACTCAGCAGTGGGGCGACCGAATTACGAATTTCAAAGCTCAAACGGAACGTTTTGATGTCTAGTTTACTTTCTGCACCAGAACTAATCCGTACCCCATCCTCTCAAGCGTACATAGTCAAAAATATGCGCGACTGGGCAGACCGACAGAACTGTGAGTGGAATGCTTGCATGGTGTTAGGGTTTGCGCGGTAGTGCGCCCCTTCATTAGGACTATACGTGGGCCAAAGGTTTTCCACCGGACGTTCCTGTAAGTACCAGTAAAATTGTAAAAAGGCAAAAAAGTGGCATTTCCGCCTGCCATCTCGGCAACATGTACGCACGCGTGTATTTGTACTGCCTAGCTCACAGGCGGAAATGCCACTTTTTTGCCTTTTTACAATTTTACTGGTACTTACAGGAACGTCCGGTGGAAAACCTTTGGCCCACGTATAGTCCTAATGAAGGGGCGCACTACCGCGCAAACCCTAACACCATGCAAGCATTCCACTCACAGTTCTGTCGGTCTGCCCAGTCGCGCATATTTTTGACTATGTACGCTTGAGAGGATGGGGTACGGATTAGTTCTGGTGCAGAAAGTAAACTAGACATCAAAACGTTCCGTTTGAGCTTTGAAATTCGTAATTCGGTCGCCCCACTGCTGAGTAGCGAGGCAAAACAGGTGCCGAAGCCCGCACGGCTCTTTTTCGACATGAGTAGAAAAGCCCGGTGCGCACCGGCTTAGCGCTATCACACGACGCTCAAATTTTGCGAGGGGTCTTCCATGAACATAATCTATCAAAAAATGCACCGTTCGGTAAAAAATATTTTTTTTGATGCGGGCTAGCGGGTTGCTACCCAGCCTATAGGCTAGAGCGGTACTTACACCATGTAGCTGACATCGTGGATGAATGAAAGGCGTCTACTCGGAGGCCGGCTGCAGGGCGCACACAGACAAAGCATAAAGGTAAGAGAGAGAAACCACCACAGGAAGTCCAAGGGAAGCATTATAGTCAACATTTTAAGCGGGAGAGAGTACACCTGCTGTGTGCCACCAACACCGTGACCTGGCGTTCTAGGGCTAGGCTAATTAGTGAAGTTTGTTTATTGACAAGATAATTAGATATACGTAACTACTTTTGTTTGTTTAACCAGACAACTAGACACACATCTACCAGGTTAATCATTTTGCACCGATGGATACTGATACACCTGGTACTGGCACAATCTATGAGGGGATACATTAATGTGCAGACACATACAGTATACAATGTGTCTGGAGCCTGCAAACGCTGTTCTCGCAGCAATAAACACGAAAAACTGACTGTAGTCTTTGCGACTCTCGCGTGGAGACGGTTGGTATTCTGAACTTAAACTTACACACACACACACACACACACCGGTTGCGGTTGTATCCGAACACACAGCGCATTGTTGCGGGTTTGTCTCCTCAAATGTATCGCAGGCGCTATGGCCGGCTGGAGCGAATAGGCAAACCCGGAAAACTGCAATATGCGTGCTACACATACATACATACATACATACATACATACATACATACATACATACATACATACATACATACATACATACATACATACAACAAAATTAGACTCGCGACTGTTAGTTTTTGTACCGCTGAACATGAGAATTGAGAATCCCTGCTGTAAGAACGCCAAGCAGCCGGAGCTAGTCAGGGCACTCAGTACTACTACCGCACGAGTGATACTGTCGTTACGCGTTTCGTTTCCTTATCTAAGAACGTTGCTTCGGGCTGAGCGTCCAAACTGTTTAGTTTAAACACATCGTACCCGAACTACATCATGGCGGATAGCAGCTCGATACTCACCGGGCAGTTCCCACGTAGTATTTGGAGTACTCCTTGAGGCGGCTCTGCAAGTTGGGCAGGCTGGCGACCTGCGAACACACGGGTGAGGACCAGAAACATGATCAATGGAGAGTTGTAATTTATGGCCATGGTTGAGGAAGGGAAGGATGGGCTTCGCTGCAACTTCGTTCATACTATATACTTATATTTCTGTATGAATTTCACGTTTTCTCAAAAGATATTAGGCACACCTCTCGCGTGACGCGGGGAAACGCTATATTTGGGCGTCAAACGTTTTGTTGGTCAGATTATTGAACTTAACGCCTGCCTGCTCGAGGGCGATCGGAGTGCTCCCTGAAAACACCCGGAAACGCCTTCTAAATCAGCTGAGACAAGCTGAGGGGCGTGGTGGTAGGACGGAAGTAGAGCGTTCTCAGGGAGCTCTGAGCTCTCCGAACGCCCTCCCGCACACTGAAGCGCTCAAGCTCAGGGTGGACTGCCGGCTCAACACAGCTGCCTGGCGGCTCGGCCTACCCCGCGCGTTACAGGCGTCTTCGAACTACGGGATGGATCATACTCTGAGCGGGCTGACGAAATCAGAACTTGCTTGTGAGGGCATTGCCGAAAGGCGCCCAACGTTCCTCGCGCTGCCCTGGGTAACACCACTTCGGGGAAGGCCACCTCAGAAAAACTGCTATTGCAGGGACCACTCTGCCAATTCTGAGGTGAACTTGGGTTTGTTTAAATCCTAACCCAAACCACTGAATAAGCAACTAAAGCACAGACGAAGCGATGAAGCCAGGTCGAGCTGGCTGCAGTCCGCAGTTATCGGAACGGCAGGGAAGGGGGCGGGGGGGTGCCACACCTTCACCTACCACACACACAGACAGTGTTGGCTAATATTGGACAGGGAACGGCCGTGCCGCGTGCTGCCTAACCCACGCTCCCACTTCGATGCCATGTGCCATAGGCAGCGCAACGCATCCCCCCCCC